AACTCACAAAGATCCGCCTGCCTCTGCCTCCCGAGTGCTGGGATTAAAGGCGTGCGCCACCAACGCCCGGCTACTCAAACTTTTTAAATAGCACTTTATTCTCAATTGTCTCTGACAACCTATACAATACAAATTAATTTTGAATATAAGTTCAGAAAATATCTGACATTTGGAATTTATAAGAAATATAACTTTATCCAGTTGTGGTGACGCATGCCTTTAATCCTAGTACTTGGGAGGCAGAGGCAGGCAGATTTCCATGAGTTTAAGGCCAGCCTGGTCTATATAGTTAGTTCCAAAACAGCTAGAACTACATAGTGAAACCCTGTCTCAAAAAACAAAACAAACAAACAAAAAGAAATCCTTAAAATTATTTAGTTTCCCATTTTATATCCTAAATATGGCCAGGAAGAAGGGCCCCTTTACTGTGGAGTCTAGAAAGTGGACATTCATGTCATATGTCCTGGCAGTCTGTGAAAGACGGGTTAGGTTGACTAGGTTTAGGGACAGAGACTCTTTGCAGATGTTAGTGAACATAGCATCTAAATTCTTAAGAGATGCCATTCAAAGGCCAGTGCACATATCCTTTTGACTAGTTTAATTCACCCATATGGATCATCTCTGTTGTTATTTGATTGACTTCACTTCAGCCCCGGAGAGGGTCTTCAGCATGAGGGATTTCATAGTCATGCGTCAGAGAAATGAACAACTAAGATCAGAGTAAGAAGGGACTATAGGGTTGACATTACAGAGCAGGGCTTGAGGAGTGGTGGCCATGATGCCACAAATCTGCAGGAGAAAGGATACAGAAGCTTCCCAGAATTCTACAGTTGGCTGTGGTTGGGCAAACCAGAAACTTGGGGCCCAGGGGTGCTGGATAACATCAGCACCTTGCTTGGGTGTGTGATTTGCACAGTGTGGCTCCTACGCCATGTGCCTTTTAAGGATCTGGCTGTGACCATCTGGGTGCACACACTTCCAATAAGGCTCAACTCACAGTGAGTGAAACAGGAAAGGGTAGCCATCTCCTCTGTCAACATTGTCTTGCCTGAAACCCTTGAATGAGACTGAAGAATTAAGCAAAAGCATTCTCTTTCTTACAGCCCTACCTTGTCTCAGCAGATGTAAGCATCGGTAGGTACAGTTAAATCATCACTCTTTTAAACAACCTACAAACTGGCAGCTCCGACGAGGCTCTGAATTACACGTGTAAGTGAAGAGCCAGCAGATGGCGCCCTTTGTCGTTTATTGACGCTTTTACCCACATAGAGGAGTGTTTGGCGTGGCTTCTTTCATTTGGGTAGTACAAGTAGTGTTTTCAACTGTTTATTATGCATGAGCCAAAATTCCATGAATGTGTAACATTTTCTCCCGTATTTCCCTTTTTATAACATCATTTAAATTCCTTATTAATAATTTAAAAATGTTCTGGATTTTAATCACTTTTCTCATCACTAAAATATCTGATGAAGAGATAGGGTTTTTTTTTTCCCCTGCTGAAGGTGAGATAGAGGAAATCAGCAAGGAAGGAAGAAGAAACTCTCACTCTTAAATTGAGCTCACCACCCCCTCGAGTGCATCACCCCATCTTTTCAGTTTAATTGAATAGTATTTATTTAATTAATAAAAATATCTGTCTAGTACAGGTTTCAGAAATTCAAGGCTAGAATAGGCTGCCATTAATAAAACAAGTTTTTTTTTTATATCCAAGTTTAATTATGGTGGTGTGTGTTTGATAGCTTGTTACTGTAAATAAAAGAGATAAAGGCAGCCCTTCTCTGGAGTAGCTGGAGAGCTGTGAAATATGTACCTAATTAAAACTATTGGTGTAAGAGGCTAATAAAGTACATGTGCCTACTAGATGTCTTATTCTAATGAATCTCGGCTAATTTGCTTTGACTGATGAATTTCAGTGTTAGTGGTAGGGGCTGAATAATTATGAAATTTATCACAAGATACAAGGACTCATTAAGGATTACTCAGGTTGAGTAAGAGGAATGTTTTCTTTGTCAAGAACACAGGCCTTGACCGACACAATTACAGCAATCCAGAGTGGCCGGATTCCAGACCAGCCCCAAGTGAGGGTTCAAGGCCAGGATGGGGCTTGTGTTTCCAGATGAGGTGGGCTGTACGGTGAGGCTGAAGACTGTGTGTCGCCTCTGGAAGAGACACTTCTGTGGTGCTCAGGGCTACATTTTAAAGAGAAATGTTCCAAGCACACAGCCCGTCACATATGTGGTTCTGATGGCGGCACTTCCCTTCCCATGAGGAAAATGGACAAGGTGAGGATTGAGCAAGGACGCTGCTATAGGAAAGAAGCCATGGTCAGTCTCCAAATCCTTGGTGGTCCCTGGCCCCTCTGCTGACAAGTTTTAACTCTATGTCCAGCTTATTAATTAACCTGATTTGATTAAACCCTGGCTGGTAGACTCCCAAACTGAGGCCATGACTGGAATCATGTCATCAGCCTCATATAAGCAACTCCCAGAATGCTCCAAAGATAAAATATATCTGAACTGGAAGTGGAAATTCTAACGGTTAATTGTAACCGGGCATCTTGCCTCTCACTGCCAGGCTACCAGGCTGAAGGGGAAGAAGAGACACCCAGATCCCTCCTCTAAGAAAACCAGGCATGGAGCCAACAGGACAGTGGCCCTTTCCTGGGCAGTCAGGGTCCCAGCTCAGGAAAGACAGCTGTGAGAACCTGATTCCAGTGTGCCTGCCCCGTCTGCCCCGGGACTGACCAGGCAGCAGGGGGCAATGGTGAAGGGGGGTGGGTAGCAATGGCCTACGAAATGACACTAGATGATAGCTCAGCTAGAAGTCTTGTAAGACAAATGCAGACTCATTTATCCCTCTAGCACCAGACATGGCTGTTCCCAGAGTTGCAAACCCAGAATTGGCACAAGTCTCATGGAGACTTGCTCACCCTGACCTCAAGCAGTTCCAGCACAAGGGATTTCTCTTCTTGCTCACATAGCAACTTTTTATATGAATGAAGATCTAGGAGTTCTTTGGTTTCAAAGTGTGTGTGTGTGTGTGTGTGTGTGTGTGTGTGTGTGTGTGACACAAATATATTTTTAAGTGTGATTTTAAAAAATGAGAAAGTCAACTTGTTACATGTCTTCACAGTGAAGTGTTCAAGCCCGTTAACTCTTGGCTTTTTTTTTTTTCCAAAGATAACTTCAAACCAAATGTTTCCAATTTGTTTTTCCTTGCAATGCTGGGTACATGTTATGTAAAAGTTCAACCTTTATACCAAAGATCAAAACTCATTAGATAATTTATAGCATTTTAAAATGATTGCTGTCTTTGTCTTCCGACTCAGAAAGGTACATTCCCTTCAGGAGAGAAAATGCCACTGTGATTCAGGACTATGCAAAGAAGGTAACTTGTGAACCTTCCCTTCACCATCTCCCTTTCCTCCTCAAAAGAAGCAATTGCCAAAAGAAACAATCACAGGTAATACATAGTACTGACTGTGTCCAACGTATGTTTACGTTGTTACATAACTCTCACAATGACCCTAAGAGTAGCAATATCTTATCTGAATTTTACAAAATAAGGAACTTTTGCATGTGAGCTCTAAAATCCTCAGAGTATTTGTCTTACCAGGACAGTAAGCAATACAATCAGTCTCCACCTCAGGTCTTTCTGTCTGTCTGTAGAATCATCACACAATGTCATCTTTTTGTTGGAACATGTGCAGTGTTACCTTGAGAACCTTCTAGAACTTTACCATGGTTTTGACTTTTCCATTTAGGCGAAAATGACCTCTGACTCTAATACAAATGAATGTCAGAGCTGTCAATTCAAAGGAAGACATATGCGGTTAGCATCTAGTCGGAAGGCTTTGGTCAAGGAACTATGGGCATGCAGGAGGCAGGACACAAGCTGAAAACCGAGGCTGGGGGTCAGCAGTGGCAAGGCCACTACTTTACCATTGGTTTTCTTTCATCTTGAATCCATTGTCTATAAATTCAGGCTGGTTGAGCAGTTCAGATGGCAAAGGATATGAAGCTATATTGAGGGACCTGGTATATACCCTGAGTGGGTCTACCTGCTACTCTCTTGAAACCACATCGCCTCCCAGCCATGATTTATATACACTGCCTTGTTCTTTATGGCTTCCTGAGTTAGTTATTTCAGACTAAATCTGTGTGTTATAAGCCTCAGCGTGCATGATTTCTTAGGTTTTTAATTACAAAATGTAGTTTTGACCTATTAAATCATGTGTGAGGTAAATTTACCATAATAAAGCCTTATTAATCCCCTACAATTAAGAATTTACAGTTCTTTGCTGAACTTTTTATTGAATTTCCCATGAGGACCTTCGCACAACTGATTGCTAAGAAACTTTCTAGCCTATAACCAGCTAGCCCACAGAGCAGAAGCAGGGCAGGATAGCATTTAGAAAAATCACTTCATACCTGGAGCCAGACTTCCTGTCTCTGGAAACAGTGTCTCATTGAGGGCTATGGTAACCCTGTAAGGTCACCCCTGTGCTTCCTGTTTTATAGGTGGAGAAACTGAGGTATGGAATGTGATATAACTGAAGGTCACACGGCTTTCCCATGGCTTCAGCCAGGTCATCAGGCTCCAAAACACACGTTCCAAGTCAGAGTCGCCTCTGCTCCTCTCTATGATAATTACAAACACACAGTGTATTTACTGCTCTTCCAGCTCTGTTCTCCGCTAGTATATATTTATTACTATTTATTTAGCTCATTAATTCTCGTAACAAGTCTATGAGGGGGTTGCCATTTATCAGGCCCCTTTTATAGGTGAGAAAACAGAAGCATAGAAAGGTCGCACAGCCTACTGAAGGGTCTATGATCTGTGAGCGGCTGAACCAGGCATGTGCCCATGTGGTGGGCTGCACATCTCCGATCCACAGCTCCACCCGACAGCACCCTATGCTCTCCATGTCTCCCATCTCCCCGAACCACCCTAAACCTCAGCAGAGACCGCCAGCCTGTGCACACAGACTGCATGGCTTTGCTCTGACCTCACTCTACTCTCTCCATTCTCTTGGCCTGTAGAAGGAAGGCTTTGGGGCTCTGGGTGCAGACAGGCTTGATTCCTGTCTGTGCTGTTCCTTAGCTTCGTTGTCTGGACAATGGAGCAGACTCCCTCTTGGTGGTGCTCTGAGGATTTTCGGGCAGGATGCATGTCAAAGGCAGCTCCAGGAAGTGTTCATTCTGAGAGTGGAAGCCCCTTCCATCTCCGTCTCAAAGCGACAGTCTCCCTCCCTGTAAAGCCCTTCTGCAGACAGTTTGATCAGCTGCCCTGTGAGTCTACAAAGGCTTCTGTGCACACGACTCTCTCTAGCCTTTGTCACCACATTCTTTGTGCCATGGTCACTTCTGAGTATGTCTGTCTCCTCACAGGGTTCTGAGGTTCTAAGGGTAAAAGACTATATCTCATCTCCACGTCTCCGTATCCAAGCCCAGGGCCTTGGGCATTCAAGCTCTTAAAATTTTTTAACGAATCAAATTAGAAAGCAACACATTAGTATTGTTGGCTCCGCTTTGAAAATGCGCACGGTATGCTCCAAGGTCTCTCAGGAAAGTTGGGAGTTACTTCCTCTATACAGCCACACCCCCCTGTCTGTTGCTCCTCTCTGCTGCTCACACTCTCAGAGGCCTTTCTCACTGGCACTTTCTTTTCTCAGTGAGATTCAGTTGATGACAGCATGTCCGAAGAGGCCTCTAGGTGGGGTCCTGGGGCAGATTCTGTGGCTGACTGGAGTAGCCCTCTGCTATGACCTAGGAGTTTGTGTCGCTCCAAAATGAACCATAGAAACCCAACCCCTCAAAGTGACGCTATCAGAAGGTGGGTCCTTCGGCAGTGGTTAGGTCATGAGAGCAGGGCCCTTAGGCATCGATTAGTGCCCTTATAAAAGAGACCCCAGAGAGCTGTCTCCTTTCTTCAACCGTGGAAGGACATAGCCACAACTGCCTTGATCCTGAACTTTGATGCCTCTAGAACATGAAGACTAATTTCTATTGTTTATAAACCATCAGGCTATGATTTTTTTCATAATCTTGCAAATGAACTGAGACACTTTTCATCATCCACGGGGAGGAGGGTAGATGGAGACTTGCCTGTCTTCTAAGTCGCCTTTGGATGATATGATCTTCAGAGCCAAATCCTGGCCTACAATGTTGGGTTAAGAGCACAGGCTTCCAGAGTGTTCTAGATGAATGGGCTACACCATCAAAGGCCCTGTTCGTGGTCTCAGCCCCATGTGACATTCCTCCAATGGCAGCTTCATAGAGGAAAAGGCCTGCAGACCTGGGGCTAGAGTTTAACATCTTTGACCTTGGATCTAGATATTGTTAGGAGGTGACAGGGTGGTGACTGCATTGGCAAAGAGACCCAGGACATGAGAGAATGAGATAGAGAAGATAGGCATGATCTAGGGATATCCTGAGAGCCCTGTGTTTCTTTGCCATGGCTGAGGCTCCTGCTGGATATATGGTTGGTGACCAAAGGCCACCAGCCAGAGAATACATTCCTCCATTAAGAAGCAGAGATGAGCAGGAAGCTTTGTCCATGAAAAATCCGATTCGGGGCCCACATATTTAGACTTTCATTCTGATTTCTAGGAGCTAGCTCAGAGGCCCTGTGCGGGTTCTCTGTGTGTCTCACTTCCCGCACCTGTAAGACGGGACATAAATAATGATGCCTCACGAGGTTCCCAGAAGGATTAACTAAGTTCTTCTATAGTAAGTATCCACCAGACAGCCATTCTTATGAAGTGAGACCACCCCAGCGATTCCTGGCATCTCTGCCTGGATCCCACTGCAGAGAGCAGCAGACATATAGAAACAACCATGTGGGGTCAGCCTGGCTAGGACGCCGGTCTATAGTCTACACAGCCTCACAAGATTATTCTGGAAAAATCTAACTCAAAATGCAATGTGATTCAACCCTCCTTAATTTAAGGGGAATAAACCTAAATGACAACCAGATGTCTTGATACAGGTGCATAGGTAAGACCACAAAGCTGAGGAAGTATCATGTGGAGTTTCCAGCCTGGACTTCATGGCTTGTGGCCAGTGGGCACCTTCCCAGGGGTCTAAGGAGTAGCAGGCTTTGTGAACCATTTCTCAGCCAATTGTAATCACTGTCCTTGGGTCTGGTGGCTGAAGGAAGAGGTGTCTGTCAGCTGGCAGATGGATTGCACGTTACTTCTGGGTGAGGACAATTTCTGGGCACTTAGTGAACTTGAACTATTTTTCTTCTCCTGAACGCTCATCTCCTTAGCAAGATAAGTCTTTGTTTCTTCTCAGGCCGGGCTTAGCCCCAGCCTCCCTGCTAGGAGTGTTCCCCTCCCCCACCCCTTCCATCTTCTCTGGTTCCTATCAGGGGATAGGCAGTGATTGAAATTATTGATTCAATCAGTTTATTCTCCTGCCGAGTTGCTTCGTTGCTGGATCACTGATTTAGGTTGGGCCTCAGCACAGCCCACTGGCTGCCTCTGCTTAGTGCCAGGGGCAATTGGAACTGCAGCACCTCCTGGAGTGTCATCAATGCAGACCTGAGGAGGACTTGACTGAGAAGACAGCAGCTTCTCTGACTGCAGAACCCCTTAGCACAGTCCTGTTCACCAGAAATCAAACCACACTCTCAAGGTTCCCTCAAACCTGGGTGGTGAGCTGGTATGAGAAGCCTCTCGGATCGGTCCTTCCTGGAAGAATCTGGAGCCACAAGAATGAAGATGCTGCTGTTTCTTAAGGGATAATAAAGGCGTCATTGAGAAGCAGTTTGGGCAGGTGAGTGGCTGGGCTTATTATTATTTACAAATGCCTTCCTTTTCTACTCGGTTTCTTAAGTTCTCTCTCCAGCCCTCATTCATTTTACAGGGATTCTGTGTAGCCGAAGTAATGCGCATGGATATTGCGTAACATTCTGTGGATGGATACAATATTATAGAAATAATTTAATTGACGACCTGTAATGAGAAGAGCGTGGGGTAAGTCGCTTGGGTTGCAATTTCTCTCTGTATTTTTACATTGCCAGGGATAGTGCTGTTGACATGAATAGGCCAGTATTGATTTCATTTAAAATTTTCAACATCTGAATGATGTGAGCAGTGATCTGTGGGAAGATACTGTGGCGTTGCCGGCCTAGCCCCTGCTAACAAAATGCCATTTTAAAAGGATTTTTCTATTAGAATTCACAAAGAGAGAATAAAAGGGGCTATGAGAATGCTAGAAGTTCTTACTGACCCAAGAAATATGAAGTCGCCATCTTTATTTTACTCTTAATTAATTGAATTATTGGACCTTATATAATCTTCTGTTAAATACTTAAAAGAAAGCAGGCGGGGCCCGTGAGGGGGTTGTGTGGAGCACTTTGTTTTCTGAAGGTAGTGGCTTCAATGACCCTCTGAGAAGGTCCCTGACGGTCCTATCACTCCCTCTAGAAATGGATTTCAAATGCGACAGTGATTCCGTAATGCTGCCCTATTAACAAGTTCCAATTCAGTGGCTAGAAGTTACCATTGTCTAACAATAGCAGCACAAATTAGATTTTCAAACTTTCCGATGCAGTTTCTCCTGATGCCCGGGTCTGCCAGTCACATAACAAAAGGCTGAGGGGAGACAGATGTTGGGCAAGGTGGTGTGAGCGAAGCTGGGTTGGGGTTTGTTTTGAAGCCCCCTGTTGGTGAATCGGGGAGTGAGAGTTTGAGGTGCTTTGTTTATCTATCTTGGAGACAGGTTTCTGTGAAAATGTGGGGTGTATCGGGGGACAGCCTTTGCTTCTGCCTTCCATTGGCCTAGACATTCAGGTGGGTAGGGCTGAGCAGTGGTCTCACCCCTGTGGTGCTCAAACCTACCTTTTCAGCAGCTTTGGAGGCAGCCAAAAGATCTGAAAGGCAAGTACAGGGAAAGATCTTTCCAGAACACAGGTGACAGCTCTTCTCTTGGTACTGATATGCTGTGGACTCTGAGTTGTAGTTCTGCTGCCTGCTGGCCAGGCAAGAGGAAAACCTCCAACCTCTAGAGAGCAGGTCCATGAAAGAGGGCCCAGCCCAGTGCATTCGAGAAGGCGAGGGGTGTGAGCTCACTGTTTGTTGCTGTAAAGAGGCTGCACACACTCTACCTTCAATGTGGCAGTTAAACCAGAAAGAAACAGGCTACAAATGAAGTCAGAGAAGAAGGTCCATTATGGCTTCCAAGTCTCACCCAGCAGACACATATAGTTCTTAAACACATTCAGATGTACCCAGTAAAAGCAGTGTCAACATCGTTGGTGATATCCTTGGTGTATGACCTTGACTATAAGATTCTATCTGAGTAACACACCTTTTGATATTATAATGTGATGTTGGCCTTCGACAACTGTGTTGGGCCACATCCATAGCTATCCTGGGATGTGTGGGGTCTGCAAGTTGGACATGCCTCCCTATATCATTTCCATAGACGTCAACAAAGCAATGTTCATTTATAATGAAACAAAACATGACGCTGGTGTCATACTTTGCTGAAAAAGACTTTCAAAGAGGCCCCTCTATGGAGACAGGTACTGATCAGGCATGTCTTGAGCTCAGCCAAAAGGAAGATGATATCTCCCTCCTCATTGAGTCACAAAATGGATAACAACAGCAACAACAATAACAGCAGCAGCAGCAGCAACAGCAACAACAACAACAAAAGCAAGCAAATAAAAAGACATCAAAAACATCTCTACAGGAAGCTTTCTTCCAAACCATTCTAGGGAATGAAGCTACCCATGGAATCAATGCTTGCTGTCTGCAGTGATTTCAAAGAAAATGGCCTCCAAAGGGAGTGGCACTATTAGGAGGTATGGTCTTGTTGGAGAAAGTGTGTCACTGTGGAGGCGGGCTTTGAGGTCTTTTTCCTCAAGCTTCACTCAGTGTGACAGTCAGTCAACTTCCTGTTGCCTCTGAGTCCAAATGTAAGACTCTCAGCTGCAGCACCACGTCTGACTGCACACTGCTGTGCTCCCCACCATGATGATAATGGACTGAACCTCTGAAACTGCAAGCAAGCCACCCCAATCAAATGTTTCCTTTGTAAGAGTTGCAGCAGTCATGGTGTCTCTTCACGGCAATAAGAACCCTAACTAAGACACTATCCGTTCCCAGGTATCCTGTATAGTAGTATATGCTATACGGGTTCCGTGTGCCCAGAGTCGGAGACAGGCCTGTGGCTGCACACGGAGAGAGTTCACGATTCAGCACAGGAGGGAGGTGGCATGGTACCTTATGAACATAAACCCAGGGGCACAGGCATCCCGGAGTTCCTCCTGAGCACCCAAGGAGAGCTAGAGAGCAATAGCAATGGGATGCAAGTTCTCATTCACCAGAGTTCTGGCCTCCAAGCCCAAAGCAAGGAAACCTGGGATGCTCACTGATTCTCCATAGACAGCAGATCCTGTCTGGTCCATCTTGTTCTCAGGAGGCTCTGGCTACTCAGGGCTGGAAAGTTTCCTCTCTCCCCCGATTCTGAGTCTTAAGCTTCGGGCTTTGTTGTTATGACAGACTGACCTACTGGGCGGAAGAGAGCAGCAAGGCACTATACACACAACAGTCTCGTTTCCGATGCCTGGCAAGGAGCTGCCTCACCTATTCTAGGTCTTAGGTTTGGTCCTTGAAACCTACAGGAAAGCAGAGGGAGCATTTAAGGAGTTGGAGGAGTAAGTTAGGCTGCCGCATATCTGCCATGCTTTGCCACGCTGCTAGACAGCAAGATTTTACCCCAATGACTGGGATCTGCCCTGTCTCCTGTAACCAGATGAACAAGATCCTCCTTCCGAACAGTCAACACACACTTCTGCCTTTGAAACAATCCACATGTTATTTCTATTTTAGGAGCTGTTGATCAGTTCCTCCTATGGGTAGGTCAACACACCTAAGGTGATTGGGGTGGCTCATGGGCAGACATATTAAACTATATTGTTTCATTAAGTGAGAAAGATTTTTCCATTTAAAATTGTTTCAACCCTGATTAATTCAAAGAGCCCACCTCCAGTAATGCTACATGTCTTTAATACCTTTTAAATACTTTATTTGGTCTCCTTTTTAAACAGAGGGCATGCCTCATCCTAAGAGGTTTCAATGGGGCCTAGTATGTAGTAATCACTTAAGAACATTTTCATTTTTTTAAATAACTTTCTTTTATTTAAGTCCAACCATATACCTTTTATACTGTCACTAAAACGGTAACCACAGGTTATATAATACTTAGCTGGAACCGGGAAGTGCTTTGAATGTTCATTTTTGTTTTAGTTTCTTTAATTCTCACATTTTGCACTCAGGATGCTGAGAAAATGGAAGTGCCACCCAGTTAGTAAGTGGTGAAGGTGGGTCCAGTCCTGTCACTGTGGCTCTTGAGAAGGGGAACGAGCAGATGATAGCACTAGCCATCCTGACCCTATGAAATGTACTAGGCATCTTCACCTTGGTCATCTCACTTAGGCCCAGAATCCGGATTCAGTCAAGTCTAGCTTGACCACATTTCAGCAAAACAGCACAGTGAACTCACTGCCTGCCTCTGAACTGCTATCTCATCGTTAGCATAGAGGCTGAGCCTCGCCTCTCTCTTACGGGCTCTTGGGAAAGTGGGTAAAACTTTGACACAGGACAGAGCGTCATCCACATCATCTACACAGAACGACTGTGGACTGCAGAAGGACCCAGTGCCCACACGCCCTCCCATCCACTGTCATGAGAGGCTGTGGACTCTCCCCTGGGCCTCTTGCTTGTTTTCTCTGTGAAGTTGGAATGGAAAGGACACAGATTTGCAGGCAGTGTGGCTCAACGCTTCTGTAGGGACTCTAGGTCACTCTGTGCCCCAGAGTGACTCATTGTCAGGAGTGAAACCGACCGGATCACGTCTCTACTTTTGCAAACCTCCATAAAAATCTAGGAAAAGGGTATCTTTCAGGGCTTAGCAGGTAAAGGTGCTTGCTTTCAAGCCTGATGACCCAAGTTTGAGTCACGGAACCTACACCGTAGAAGGAGAGAACTGACTCCTGAAAGTTGTCCTCGGATTTCCACAGGAGACACGAGCACCCCACTACCACCACGTATACACATAGATGGACACATATACACACATACACAAATAAAAATGTGATAAATTTTAAATATGTTTATATTAGAAATATAATTGATGTTTCATTGTATTTAAAGTATAAGTATAAAGTATTAAGTATAGTTAGTAAGAAAGGATCGTCACTGAAAACTTTGATGATAACAAAGCTTTTTATATGCATACATGCATGCACATATATCTTCAGACACTGTGTGTTTCCCTATTTTTATTTAGTGTGTGTGTGTGTGTGTGTGTGTGTGTGTGTGTGTGTGTGTGTGTGTAGGTCTGAGGTTGTTGTTAAAAGTGTCTTTCTCAATAGCTCTCTGCTTTATTTTTTTGAGATAGGGTCTCTCACTGAGCCTGGAGCTCCCTGATTGGCCCATGAGCTCTCCAGAAACATGGCTGTCTCCCTTCCCCAGTGCTGCCATGCTAGTCCCACCTCCTACTCTCCCTCTTTCTTAACATGGGTGCTGGGGATCTGAACAAATATCCTCATCCTGATGCAGCAAACACTTTACAAACTGTGCCATCTTTCCAGCCTCACGTGCTGTGTTTTTCCAAAGTAAAACTGAGATTGTATATATTATATTTTTATGCAGCCTGTACACTGAGTATGAGTACCCCTGGACACATATGGAAGAGCCAGAGCAGGATGCTGGTGGCTCCCTCCATCCCTCTGCTCTCTATTGCCTTGAGAAGGTCTCTCTGAACTGAAAACTCACCTTTTTGGCTAGGCTGGGTAGCCAGCAAGCTCTCAGAGACAGACAGATCTGTCTCTGTCTCCTGTCTTTGCCTTTACAGGCCAGCACCTGCATGGCCAGCATTTTGTTGTGGGTGCTGGAGACTCGAATTTTGGCAGAATAAGCACTCGTGCCCACTCAACCATCTCATCAAGCCCATTGTATTTTTT